AGTGGAGCCTCACTTTAGAGCGTTTACCGCGATCCATCTGTGGTGTTATGAAGTGACTGAGCTTGTGAACTGTCTACGGGAGGGCGGGGGGAGCCTCGCTGCGGGGCAACTGTGAACCTCTGTCGCCTGTCAGCGCAACTTACATGATGCAGTTTAAAAAAATTAAGGGCGGTGCCGGCCGTCAGCGAACCGAGCCGGCCGTCAACGGCCCGCTGACGACCCGCTGACGACCGGTCGTTCTGTGATTCTCCAGAACACACAGATGGCCAGTCCGCCCTTACCCTGTATTCCACCGGGTCACCGCGGCGCAGACGGACCCGGTGGAATACAGGGTCTACCTCGTTTAGGAACCGTTAAGCAGAACCGAAATTATGTATTTTGTATGGGTACCCGGTACCCGGCATTTTCTTATCGGTTCTCATCTGGAACCGAGTTTCGGTTCCCAACCCTAATGATATTATACTGAGAAATGTTTGGTCAACTCGACCTGTTGTTTCACACGGTAGCTTCCTGCCAAGGTCGTACTCGAAGAATGCGGCTCTTGTTCCTTATGAGAGCATTGCAAGATAACAGTCAGGAGAAAGTGTTATCTCTTTTTGTCTGCACAGCAACAGTCCTCTATAAATCACACACACACATTTGCCTCTGTGTGCACTCCTGCAGACTATTCTATACTCTGTATGACATGTACCGTCGAAGCTTCGAATAAAGAACCACAAAGACAACTCTGTTTGCATCGGACCAGTTTTATTATTATTAATACTACTAGTACATCTCCGGATCATTGACGAGTGAAAGTTTCCACAACATCATACACTCATACAGCACCATTAACTGAAAGCTCATTGAGACCCAGGGTTAATTTGCTAACAGCTAACTGCTGCTGCCTATCAATCATGAGATAAGGGAAAAATAACCAGCCACTAACTTATGCTTCATGCACACAGCATATCCTCACTTTGTTTAAAACTGAGATCAGACTGATAACCTGGATAATGCTATGTGAAAGTGTCCCCTCAACTGAGTTTCAGTTAACTGAAAAATAAATTGCTTTGTGGTATTGCCTCAAAAAGGTTTGGGATCAGAGAACTCAACATAGGGTTAAACGGTTAAAGTACCAGGTACATAACCAAGAGCCTATGAAATTGTCATATTAACAAAATGTTAACTGAAACAAAAGGGACAAAATTAAACCGGGAATTTCACTAATTAGCTTTAACTAAAGGAAAAACAATCACCAAATAGACCTGCAGCCTCACAGCAGGCCTCCAACCAAGGGCGCCGGAAGCGGGGGGGCCAGGGGGCCATTGGCCCCCCCACTTTTCAGCCCTGCCCCACATTTTCGCAGCGGCGGATGCCGTGGAACACTGTACAAATCCCGTTTCAATAATTTCCCTCTACTCTAAAGTCGCATCTAAAACGCGATCTGATATAGCTGTGTATATTTTGTTATGTTTGATTGTTATATTCAATCTCATTAGCTACAGGCATTTTTTAAGCTTGTAAAGCTCTCACTCGCCACTCTGCTGTTCCACAGCGCCGCTTCCCCTCCCTCTGCTGAAATTATGAATGTAAGGCGTATAGTAATCATAGATAACACGGCAGGGTCCGTTACAGTTTGTTTTTATCTGATTTAAAATAAACAAAGTCTTGGCTTTCAGAATATTAAACTTGTTTTGGCAAATTCAGATGATAAATACAACTTTGAAGCTTGTAGACATAATTACAAGCAACGGAGTAACTTTACGTCACTGCAGGCATAACAGCCGGTGTTTCTCGTGAGTGTTTTCCCCGGGAAACAAACACAATACACACAAACGCAAAAATACACAAACACACACGTATACACACACACACTCGCGGGCTTCCCCTATCTTCCCTTCGTACTATTTTGATCATTTGCTCCGCTAATAATCAATCACATCGATCCAGAGAAGAGGAAACTTTAAAGGCCTTTTTCTCAAAATGATGACTCTGTAACAGTCATTATATAATGTGACATATTTTGCTTAATATTTGGAGTAGCCTACAACAACAATCCTGATATCATTAGAAAGCTATGAATCTCCTCTTTCCAACAGTGTACAACTCAAAATGTGTCTTCGGGTCAATGCGACTGATTTCGATGGAGCAGGTCACTTTGCATTAGGTAAAATAAAGCAGGCAGACATAACAGGAAGAATATGTACATTTTAACCCAATCAAATAGGACATTGTCACACCATTCAAATGTATCCATGTAAATTACAACCAATAAAAAAGCTTAGATTTGTTTATTCGTTACGTTGTTTACTTTATTTGTCACGTTGTTCTGTGTGTGTCAGCCGTTAAGCCAGATAGAAAAAATATATACACTTGCAAACACGTCAGAAGAACCAGCGCAGAAGAAAACTAAATACAGTCAATCTAAACTTAAATTAACAACTGGAAGGTCACATCCCTGACATCCACGTCTCCGGAGCCTGGACCTTCATCAATCATAGAACCAGTGAAGCCAGATGAACCCAAAAGCAGCAGCTCTGCGGCCGCAGAGACTGTCAAAACCGCCGCCACCGCCGTCGTTGTTGGTTCCGACTGAATGGAGGTTTGTTGTAGGGACATTGAGACGGGTAAAGCTGCAGCTAACTGACCGCTAGATCGTCTGGGCAAAGAGAAATGTACTTCAACGCAGAATGGTTCAAAAACAGAGAGTGGTTAATTCTTTGCAAAACCACTAAACGGGCCTTCTGTGAAATATGCAGATTTGCTGCTGTCAAACGGCTTGTAACTTTCTCAAAATGTGGAGATGATAGCTTTGTTAATACCGGGGTTAATAACTGGAAAAAGTGCCCAAGCCTCCTGGACAGCCACGAAAAGTCTAATTTCCACAGAGTGTATTAAAAAAAAGTGCGCTTTCTTCAGTCAAACACCAGTCAACATACAGCTTGTCAAACAACAGCGTATTGAGCAGGAAAAAAGAAGAGATGGAATGATGGAGCAACTGCGCTGTCTGCAGTTTCTAACCCGACAGGGCCTAGCAATCAGGGGGCATGGGGATAAGGAGAGCAATTTCCAAAAGAACTCGTAGCTAAGAAAAACCCCACTCTGAAAAGCTTCATGCTCACCGGGAAATATGCATCATGAGACAATTAATGAACTTATAAATCTAATGTATCGGGAGTCTCTCACCACTATATTAACTGAAATTTAAAAGCAATGCAAAACATGCAGTTATTGTGCTTCCAGCAAACATCCACTGATAAACTGCGATGTTAACAACCTCATGATAACTTCATATTTTTTTAACTGAGGATCTACCATGTGTTTAGTCTAGAAAAAGGTAAATGTGTGCATTTTATTATAAAGTTGTGTATATAGACTGTTGCAAAAACTAAGAAACTTATAAACATCAGGTTTAAAACTAAAAGTAACACAATTAGAGATGTTTGGAGTTTTATTTTAGTTATTAATTTACATTTTTTGTCAAAGAGATGCTGATTTGATACCGTTGATACAGTTACGGCATTTCCTGTTTCTGCCGGAGAGAGGGGAGTTTGTCCCAAAGCTTGCCGCTGTATCTACTCCCTCCATCTGACAGGAGGAGCCTCATGTGTCACTCCACGGAGTTCACTCCGTCACGGAGGGGGAGTGGGTAGGGCGTGGTTTGGGATTGGGCCATACACACGCACTTTTTTGGCCCCCCCACTTCTAAAATGAATCCGGCGCGCCTGCCTCCAACTCCTCTCTTAATCATTGATCCGGAGAAAAGCTTTTTATCTTCTCAGCTAACTGGAAACCACCAACTGCCCAGGTAAGTATAGGGGGAGCTATACCAAGCATGCGTTCACATCATACACGATTCATACAAGACTACAAATATGACAGAATATCTTTAATTGCAACACTATCTCACCTATCTTCCTTCATCTTAAGTTTTTTAAGTTTTCTTGTTTTATATATTTGATCCCTACTATAATTATAACCAGGACCACACGTGTGTACATCCTAAAAACGCATTGGCTATGTGTATTTAATCTACATATAGTAACATAAAAAATCATTAAATTATAAAGGTTATCATTTCATGAGTAGCAAGTCTAACAAAAGGCTATTGTCCTTGGAATGATGTACATGTATCTTTTATTTATTTTCTTAAATACCTCAAGTCATTTAAATGTCTCAGTCAAGCCCTGTGATCCACAATTCTGTATTTTCAGTTTCTCCAAACACTAACAATTTAAAGAACTGTAGGTCATTTAAATGCACTACTGCTTGTTGGCACCTTGTTCTGGGAAGCTTACCACATGTTTTGAGACACAGTAAGATTAGTTTATGCGAACAGGAAATCCTGAGCATATGAAACACGAGGAGGAAATGCTGTCCCCCTGACCAGCTTCTCCATGTTCTGTGTGTACCTGTTTCCAGTGTGTGGAGTGTACCTGTTTTCAGTGTGTGGAGTGTACCTGTTTCCAGTGTGTGGAGTGTACCTGTTTTCAGTGTGTGGAGTGTACCTGTTTCCAGTGAGTGGAGTGTACCTGTTTCCAGTGTGTGGAGTGTACCTGTTTCCAGTGAGTGGAGTGTACCTGTTTCCAGTGTGTGGAGTGTACCTGTTTCCAGTGTGTGGAGTGTACCTGTTTCCAGTGTGTGGAGTGTACCTGTTTCCAGTGTGTGGAGTGTACCTGTTTCCAGTGTGTGGAGTGACCTGTTTCCAGTGTGTGGAGTGTACCTGTTTCCAGTGAGTGGAGTGACCTGTTTCCAGTGTGTGGAGTGTACCTGTTTCCAGTGTGTGGAGTGTACCCCTGTTTCCAGTGTGTGGAGTGTACCTGTTTCCAGTGTGTGGAGTGTACCCCTGTTTCCAGTGTGTGGAGTGTACCTGTTTCCAGTGTGTGGAGTGTACCCCTGTTTCCAGTGTGTGGAGTGTACCTGTTTCCAGTGTGTGGAGTGTACCCCTGTTTCCAGTGTGTGGAGTGTACCTGTTTCCAGTGTGTGGAGTGTACCTGTTTCCAGTGTGTGGAGTGTACCTGTTTGCCTGTGAGGCGGTCGGTGTGGTTGACGGAGCTGCACCCAGCGTGGCAGGGGGAGTAGTACATCACACCGTCTGCCCCACACACCGGGTTGTAAAGCTCTCTGACACAACCACAGCCGGCATTACAGCCCACCGTCAGGGTCTCCTCCAAAGAGCTGCAGGCAGAGGGAAGACAGCAATGAGATGAAAGGAAGGAAGGCTATGACTAAAACACATTTAAGTCAAAAGAGTAATTAACAGGAACACTTCCCACCTGTTCCTGAGGCGCAGCTGGCTGGGCTCGTCGTACAAGTCTCTGTACTGGTCCAGCTGGTGTTTCTCCATCAGGTCGTACTGGTATGGTGCTGTGACACCGGCCATTGGCACGTTGGGGCAGTGGATGAGGAAGATGAAGATGGCGAGGAGACTTACAATGGCACACACCATGCAGAAACGGATGATGCCTCGACAGCGCAGGTTCATTCTCTTTACGATGTAGCCACCCAGGAAGGTGCCCCCCCCGCCTGCTGGTACCACCATGTATCCTGGGAAGACAAATACACTTTCAGTAATGCTGCATTGCTGTAAATATAGCGTCCAAAGGACTCATGCTTTTATCCATTATAGTAGAGCTTTTGACATGATAGTGATGATCATAGAAAGATCCTTCACCACCATCAAGTCATCAAGTGTACTTGTAGACCTCATGTATTACAATCAGGTAAATTGTATTAAAATCTACTGCGCAGATTAATGCTCCCTCTCCTGTCATTGTGGATACGTTATTGGCTTTCCTGCAGCTCAAGATTTGAGTCTAAATGTCCATTTTGCACTAAAGATACAGTATCAGATTAAAGGTGTCTAAGGATTGGCCAGTGTTGCCATACCATTGTTTTGTCTGCCCTTTTATCCAAAACTCCAATAGACTTGAATGATGCGTCGTCTGATTTTACCCTTGGTCACTCACCGAACCATGTGGCAGCTTCTGATGCACTGAGGTTGAACTGAGACTCCAGGAACTTTGGACCAAAGGTGGACATGCCTGCGATGAGGGTGGCCTCCGTGGCCCCAGCCAGGCACAGGAACAGGAAGGGGGGGTTCTTTAAGAGGAGCAGCACGGACCTGGAGAGAGAAAGAGAGGAGGGGTGAGTCTAATAAACGTAATTTTCCTTTTTAATTAAAGCCGGCTGTGCTAATCTCAACAGCCTGGATACTGCAGATCAACATGGCATGGGATATTTCCTCTTGTTACATAATGTACCATGATTATCGCCTTACTCTGTGAGTGTAATCCTCAGTGCTCCAGCGGTGACATCACACTTTGGCTGCTGCAATTTATTTTCTCTATGTTTTATTATTTTGTTGGAAAGATTGTTTCAACCACCACATAATCAACAAAATAATAACTGTTACCTGCCTGCCTATTAACTTCAGTCGTAATTATCCAGATTTTAAATGGTTAGAATGTTTGCAGCACGGGGCCAGAAAACATACAATAAGTCATAATGTCTAATATATGGACATTTGGCTTCATAGACAAAGCATCCATCAACAAGATGTTTCCTCCTCACCAGTTTCTAATTTAAATGGTGACTGACCTGTTCAAACGCACCAAAAACACTTCCATAAGGAGAAACGAGCTGCAGCTTCAAAAGCGATGCAAATAAAAAAATCACAAATGTGCCAAAACTCATGCAAATGAAGCAAAATCTTCACCAACTTTAGAACACGTGTAGCATTTAGAAGAACATACACCAACATGAGGAAACATGCGAGGGTTTACCTAAAGCGTTGCATAAACGAAACGCTGCAAATACAGAACGCTGCAAGAAGCTCAAAACCCAACGGAAACAAGGGGACACTAAAAAGTGACGCACACAGCTGGGACCGGAGTGCTTGTTGATTATTAAATTGGTCAACAATCACTATCATTGTCACAGTTGCATCCTTTCTGAAGCTGCAGTGCGTGTTCGCCCCTGTCAACCACCGTACAATTAAATATCCTCCTCCTTTCTTAAAGGTGGGGTAGGTAAGTTTGAGAAACTGGCTCGAGATACACTTTTTGTTATATTCCATGGAATGCTCTTAACATCCCGATAGCAATGAATATCTTAAGTGCTTTGACAAAAAATCCATAAAAAAATGTCATCTGTGGAAGCCGTAATACTGTAAAAAGCACGACCAATCATTTTAGCCGGCCCGGCTAAAATAACTGGATGGCCTACCTGCCTGTCAGCCTTCCATCTGTGCACAAACTTATCTCGTGCCCTCATTGGTCATGTGCGCGTTCGTGTGTGTTGGAGGAGGGGCTCTGTAAGGAAGTGGCAGATTTTTTCCGGCTGTGTATTTTCAAATTCTAGCGATCTCGAGCTGGTTTCTCCAAAATTACCAACCCCACCTTTAATATCTAGGTTCTTTCTCTGAATATTTTCCATGTAATACTTTTGTGATTTATTGCACAAAAACAGCTCTTCATGTGAATGCTCTCGGCCATTATTACATACATGCCCACACACATTATGGTGATGTCATGTCTGTCTACAGTATAAACCACTCCTCCCCTAATGTCCTCTTCTTATTCAGTAAATGCCTAACCTTGGCATGTCTTTGACTGATTTTCCAAACTGAGGGTCTGCGGCTGTGGTGTGGCTGCCATCCTTCAGCTGGTGGGCTTCAGAAACCCGCATGGCCACGTACTCCTGAGAGCCTGCAGGGAGAGGAAGAGAAAATAAGACTGAGTGACAAATGACATTCCCATACAAAAGAGATCATGTGTGTGTGTGTAAGTGTGTGTGTGGTACCAGGAAGCTGTCGTGGGTAGCCCAGGATGGGGAATGCTACCAGCAGAGCTGCTGCTCCTCCTGCCAGGAATCCAATCCACCAGGCCCCCACCCACAGAGGGTTATCTGGAGTCATCTCTGTCCTGGGAACACACACACACACACACACACACACACACACACACACACACACACACACACACACACACACACACACACACACACACACACACACACACACACACACACACACACACACACACACACACACACACACACACACACACACACACACACACACACACACACACACACACACACACACACACACACACACAATTACATCAAATGCTGTGAAATGTATATTCTATTCTTCACATTTCTAGTCTGTTAATAGTGTAGTTTTTTCTATTCCAGCCTGTTCTGTGTGAGATTCTTGTATTGCAAAAACTTTGTTTGAAAACCAACTGCGTACTGGTTAACACGTTACACTCATGGATGTATAATAAAAACTGGATACAGCGTGGGAGGCGGGGCCTCATTCATTCCTATGAGAGTTGCTCATTGGCGCATGATGATAAAATGGCCCAACTTTTGAGAGAGCGAAACGTCACAGATTACCCGTCATGCCTGAGAAGTACCTGTATGTGCGCTCATAGCGCATGCGCAACTTTAACCACGCTCCCCAAAATGCTCGTTCACATCAAGCACGTCAATTTCAAGAGAAGAAGAAGAAGAAGCACGTAACAGCACCGCGCGTTCATGACAGCATGGTAATGGATTGTTATTATGATGGATTTGATATTAACGAGGCGGCCGTGGCAGTTAGCAGCTAGCGGCTAGCCAGTAATTATGCTAATTTACACATCAGTCGTTATGTAGGCTACTTTTATATTACGATGATGTAACAGGATCTCGTGATATCCAAGCAACAGAGCTTAATTTAGCATGATATGTGTGTGGGTTGTAGCCTACATGAAACCACTTGGTAATATATACAAATATATGTATTTGGAGTTATGATCAATTGTGATTTAAATCTTTATCTAAAAAGTAAAGCTGATGATGGATTACTGTGGTGGAGTTAAAATAACAATAGCCTATTTCTCTTTGAAATGTGATGGAGTAAAAGAATAGTAACTGTGATTATTCATGTTAAGTACCCAACAAGTAACTAAAACGTATAATACTTGAAGGAAAGGTGTAAAATGTTTCCATAAATACCAATATCACACACTACAACACAGACTATAACACCCCTTGTTGTTAAATACCAACCATGTGTGTGTATATATATATATATATATATTTACATATATATATGCCGCTAAAACTGTGTAATATACCAGGCTGCTAAATCCTCCAAACTGTTACAGGATGTGTATTTTGTAAAATGTGTAACTTTTTTTATTATAATTTCTGGTTTTTAATCTTTAATACTTTTTGTATGCATACTTTAAAGCTCCCATGTCATGCTTTTCCGGTTATTACCCGTCCCCTTGTGTGTTATGAAGGTTTTTATGCATGTAAACGGTGTGCAGAGTCAAAACCCTAAAAGTACACCCTGTAGCGAGTAAAACTCTAACACAGAAAATACCTCCCCAAAACGCCTCGTTGGAGATACGTCACTGCCCATTTGAGTCTTCCATTTAGTTCCGGGTACCGCCTGATGTCATGCGGTACCCGGAACGAAATGGACCAATCCCGAAGAGCTATGGCCACACCAGCAGCGTCGTGTTCCTCCTCCAGAGGTTCGAAGAACCGGCATTTCACAGACGAAAGCTTCCAAAACATTGCCCAGTTTGAGGCCGGATATGCACAGCTTGTTTGGGACCGTTTGGAGCAGGGGAAGATCTGGGTATACAACCTGTAAGTTTGCATTGTTATTTGTGTATTTATCAAACAAGACTGTTTAAATGTGTAAACTGTGTTGGACTGCTAAGCCATTGACACAGTGCTAACTGTGCTAACTAAGTTGCTAGAGTTTCCATATATCAACTCTAATATCAGCAGATGGCCTTGCATACATGTATCTCATAGCAGGAGAATGTCTGCATTCACACACAAAATACCTATTGACAGTATACTCCGGGTGATTTGCCGGTCAGTCGCGAAACGTAATTACATTATAGCTGGCGTAGCGATCTAACACACGGAGGTAGAGCTAGTTTTGGTCAGAAAAACATTTTTGTGATGCTACGTTGCTAGCGTTTAAATATATCAACTACAATGTCAGCAGATGGCCTTACATGTTTGTCATGGCAGGAGAATGTCTGCAGTCACACACACGGAATACTCATACAGTATACTGTACTGTGATTTACCGTACATTGTGACCGTACATATACTGCATGTAGCTAACGAGGCTAGCTGTATGCTAGCGCAAAACAATGTATTCATGCAAGTTACATTGTATGACCGAACGTAGCAGAATACCCGTATACGATTGCAATTATAAACACGTTATTGCTAGCCTAATATGAACCACTAGCTTTTGTTCATAGTAGTTTTATTACACTGCATTATAGTTGCCTTTCCTCCAAGCTAACGTTCATATCGTGTTAGCTACCAAGGTAAACAAAGCTAGGTTAGCATATTAGCAGGCAAGCTGTTCATTACACAACTACTACTAACGAATCTAAAACAACTAAGTTTCTCTAATATTTTGTGATTTGCATTTGATTTCGTCCAGCCAGATCCTGGCGGACAATCCATGACGGGGAAGGGATTCTACTACTACTGAGGGTGCTAAAAGGCACCGCACCGACTGTGCGCAGGCAAGATGCGAGGAGGAGGAATGGATGATATACCGTGTATATATGTATATTTATGTTCATTTTGTACATTTCTAAAAATAAAGTTTAATGGAAATACTTAGTAGGCCTATCCTTTCTTCCCTGAATTCATATATAGCAAACCATGATTTGATTTCTCATCAAACAGTAGTAGTTTATAACGGGTAAAAATAACTTACTCTTTGTTATGAGAGTAGCTCGTAGGCCACAACGGAAAGACAAGGAGACATACACGAGTTTACAAAACCACGGCACATTTATTGTGGTAAATGCAGAGACAGGTGGTCGAGGGGAGAGGGTCGCTCAGTTCGTCCTTCTGCAGCCGCTTTGGAGAGAGACTCCGGGCCGCTGGGATTAATAGCACCGGCTACGGAGGTGTCCGTGATCGCGCTGATTACCCTCTTCAGCTCCACCCCACCGTAAGACAAAGGCCCTGAGGCCGTCACACTCTTCTATAACAACAGTTAAAAATATATATGTATATAAAATATACCGCTGTACCGACGCCATGATAAGACTGATGTTACGCTGAGAGCAGCCGGGAAAAGCACTGACATGGGCGCAGCCTCTCTGGTGGTTGACTAATCAGAACGAGTGGCCGAGCTGACCAATCGGAGCACACTAGGCTCACAGGGAGGGGGGGGCAAGAGCTCCAACGAGTCGTTTAGTGGAGAAAGTGAATACTGCTGAATACACATGCTTGACAGAGATGCTGTATGCGAAACCAATGTGAGTTTGGAAAATTGCACAGTATAAATCTATTTTAGTATACCTCAACAATGTAATTATGATCAGTGGAAATGGCCATGACATGGGCCCTTTAAGTAACATTAGGCTGTCTTTGGCTCTTTTCTGCTGTAACAATGTAAAGTATTCTGATTCTGATCTAATTGATATGTTTTTGTCACAGTTTGTTTCCCTATATTGCGACACTTGTTTTGTTTAAGATTATTTCTCCTTTTTTTACAGACATCCCCAACCATAGTGGAATGCTGTTGTAAAGGATTGCATTGATCCGTGCATCAATACCTTCACCCAGCTTTGAGGCCTCCAATGAATGAAATCATCTTGTGGGTGGGAAAAATGTGAAAAAATAAATCTCACAAAGAGTGACTTTCTGGTGTAATCATTATAATCAGGGGTGCACATAACTGGTACGCAGGTACGCATGCGCGGCACAAATCTGAATTGCGTAACGTCACTTGTGTCACTACGCGCCTTTGCGTACCTCAAAACATCAAAACAAAACACATATTTTGTCTACACGTGTTTCTTGTCAACACTCAATGGAGTAAACTACTAGGCATGTCAAAAAACCCAAAAACATTAAGCAGCTACGTTGCCGTTTCGCTCCCTGCAAAAAATCTTTCTATGACTGATTGAACTGGAGCTGGGTGAGCCGCGCAGGACATAACCGACGGACCTGTGAAGCTTTCCAGGAGGCAGAGGCTTAGATCACTGGACGACAGAGTTGGTCGCCGTGTGCACAGACAGGGTTAACGTCGGTATAAACAACAGAATTGTGCCAAAAGTCTGGTTTCTGCTAAGCCAAGATATGCTATGCCTTAAAACTCAAACTGGTCTCCTTGCAGGTTCCCATTTGGAACTATCGATGATGTCACAAAGCACATCACAGCATCATCATGATATCACTTGGAATTTCTGCACAATGCTCACATGTAGAGATGTGGCCATGGCAACAATGAAGATGCATTCTGGGTAACTTTGCCCAGGCATTCCATTTTTGAAAAACAACAACAAGATGGCTGACTCCTACTCTCTATTCTACTCAATATTAAGGGAGTTCTTTGTGGAAGATTATATAGTGAAAATGAACACACCGATGTTCTGAAACTAATAGATAGATCGTACTTTATTGATCCCAAATTGGGAAATTGTTTTTGTTACAGCAGCATAAAAGGCATTTTACAATAAAACAAAATATACAAGAATAGAAATAAAATAAAATAAAATATAAAATAAAATATAAAATATACATGTCAAAATACAAAATAGAAAATATACATACAGATATTATATATATATATATATATATATACAAATATATATATATTCAAAATATATGGAATTATGGAGTATTAAATATGAAACAGATTATGTGTGAGTAAAAATGTACAAGGTGGTTTTATTTCTAGAGAAACTATGGAGCAGAGAGTTCTCTTCCAGCCAGAGGTGATTTGTTGTACAGAGTTATTGCAGTGGGCAGGAATGTTTTCCAGTATCTGTCCTTGTGACAGGGGAGCTGCAGCATTCTGTTGGAGAAGGAGCTCCGTTGACTGTCCAGCTGCAGGTGGAGAGGATGGGTGGGGTTATCCATGATGGACAAC